GAAATATTTCTAAAAACAAATTTTGATAAAAGTTCAAAATTTTTGGGTGTAATTGTTAAAGTTTGTTGAATTTTTATAATTTTTGTAAGAAGTTTGAAATGTGGATTTATGTAATAAAAACTTAGAATTTTTGGGGTGTAATTGTTAAATCTTGTTGAATTTTTTGTGCCATAAGCGCATAGTCGAAAAAACCTCCCGCCCTAATGTACATCTATATATGTAGTTACACATGTACATATGTACATATGGGTATGCTGAACAAAAATTAATACAAGTAAGCATTTCGTTGACAATGACACTGATAATAGCGGTGACAACAATTCAATGTTCCTCCCTCGTCCTTGTACATACCATTTCGCATGCATTTGCTTTCTTCTACAATACTTTGACATTGCTTTCGTCACCATTGTCATGTTAAATGATAGATTAGTGTATTGTCAGAATATATACGCGTTTGTTGGTGTGTGCGTGTTGAGAAAAGGATATCTTCACCATCAGTTTATATTCGCAGGATTTTGATAGATAAAAGCCAACCAACTTAACCACAAAGGATCTAAATAACACATACACATGCTAACATTTATCACACTTTCAATGTACCAACATATGTACATATGTATTTATGTACATACATAACAACCAGTCCAATTACAAGTTAACCATGCATAACTACAGACGCAAAGTTAAACGCCCACACGCTTGATTGATTTTAACGATTTAACAAATTGCAAATGTGTATGTGCTCACATAATAATTTATGTATGTACATATGTATGTAGTATGTGGATGTATGGCTGTGCAAGCACCCAGCAAACACCCTACAAAAAGTGGGACTAGGTTAAATACTAGTACAGAACCACGCTTCCTTGTAACCAACAAAAGTAACTAAAAAGTCCAAACATATGGAGAAAAAATGGTTAACATGGGTCCACTTACACAACTACAGTTTACGACCTGCATTGAAAAATCTGCTAAAAAGTTTCCATCTGTTAAATAAGTTAACTTAACTTAATTAGTTCTATGAAATATTACAATACATCGAGATTAACTTCTATGCTTAATTAGTGTGAATTTGCTGGAGTTTTTGTAGAGGAGTTCCAGCGGACAAAATTGATGAAAAGTCAAGTGTTGCCATCTGTTCTCGATACAGCGATGTATCGCTCGTGGCAAGGCAAGGCATGAAGGATCAAAAATAAATTGGTGTAGGAAATTTCGAAAAAATTAATACCGACCAATGCTTGTAGAGCTTCATGCCGAAAACATTCGTAGTTTCCGCCAAAGTCAATGGATTGATTGTCGATCATAAGATTCCATACGAAAATGATATGGAAAACGATGTAGAAGAATTTTCCGTTTTTTAGTAAAAAAAAAAATCCGAAGTTTATTCAACCTCTACCTCGCGATATTCGTAGCATCTTTCCCGAGGCCCAACCACTTTCCGAAATCTCTAGACTGGAATTCGTAGGGTCGACCCTGTGTAAGTTTCTTCATTTTCTAGGCATTACGTAGCTGTAGTTTTGTGAATTCTGGAAGTATTTATACTTTAAAAAAAGTCTCATTCAGGTACGTGTTTTGTGTGTGATGAAACTATTGCCAAGGACGTTTTGAAATAGGAATAAATACTTTCATCAATAGTAGCAAATCCCAAGGTGATAATAACTGGAAATTACAGAGTAGTTGTCCATGACCATGACATAGCTTTACTTGTATTTCAGCTCTGTTACCATCAGTAAAAAAATTAATATCAGTAGCAACCCTTTACAATAATATCTGTATCAATGAGTGTTTAAAAGGTTCGTTGGATAATAAGCTGCAAATTGTTTCGTAATTCTACTAAAGCTTTTTCAAACACCTCTTTTTGATACCCAAATCTTAGTATTTCATTTGATTTAAATTTTTAATTTTTAGTCTTAACTTTTTGGACTAGTAAAACATTTCTTAAATTCCTTCGGTTTGATACCCAAATTGTAATATTTCATTTATTTAATCTATTCAGTTATTTCCAACAGGTGGCAACTCCTCATTTTTTTATGTTTTAAATCATCCAGAGTTTATAGCAAACAAATAAAATAAAGAATTATTAAAATCGGTAAAGTCGTTTTCGAGTTTTTGCCCAACGAACAAACATACATAAGTAGATATATTAAATATTTTTTCGATATCTCCTTCATCGATGTAGGGTCGATCATTTTGGTATATGATTCAGGACTCTTTTATCCACCGAATAATCATTCGTTCATCGATGGTAAATTAATTTAGTACCTCAATGCTAATTTGACTATAAAATTTAAACTTTACAAAAGAAATTTATGCATGTACACATACGTACAAATGTATGACAATTTTTTTCTTAAATGCATACCAAACTTAAAAGCTTATTGGGTATATTTAAGTTTCACAAGCACATGTGCATACAAACAGTATATGTAAGTAAATACATACCTATGTTTGTGTGTATTCAATTGGCAGATTTATGCTTGGCTACAAAAGATATTTCATAAAGGCATTTCATAAAGATATGGGATAATATTTGTAATAATGTGATATGATTTACTTGCGAGCATAGAGCTGCGAGTATATGCAAGTATTGGAAATCAATCATCAAAATTAGTTGACGGAAATGGTAATAAGAAAGCTATAAAATCGATCGCAATGCTTTTTGAAAGAGTGCATAAATAAACTGAAACATATTCACGTATATGTAATGGCTTGAGTAAAGGAGAAAATTTATGAAAAAAAAATATTTGAATGATGTAGTAAACTGGAAGATGTTCATTGCATATACACTTAGGTCTCTTTTTATGCGGCTTTTTTATGCGGATTTGAATTTATGCGGTTTTTCAAACCATTATTTCGCGTAGCGATTTGGTTTTTTTGAGAGTTTTTATTACATTTTTTCAGTGTGTAAGAGGCAATGCTTCGGATAAATAATTTGTCTTTTTATTCTTACATAATTCATGTATTTGTTGTGGTATTTTTATTTATTTTTAGTTAAAATACAGATACAATTTTATTCATTTCATTAAGGTTCAGCTTTACATGGAATAATAAGTGTTGAAGTGAAGAAATAAATAGTTTTTTTTTTGCCTAATAATGCCTCACTGAATTTTTGTATGCGGATTTTTAGAATTTTTTACATGGAGTATCTGAATTTATGCGGTTTTTGAAAATGCTGAAAATGCTGGAATGCATCTCCTGTTTTTGTATGAAAGTAAAGCACTTTTTTATGTGATTTTTTTTTTATTCGGCTTTCTGAGGAACCGAGTGTACCGCATAAAAAGGGACCTAAGTGTACTTAAATCCGGCTCCACGTACTTTTATAGTTGCATGTATGAATGTTGGCAATTTCATTTCCTTTTTAATGTTTAATATTTTTTTATAAAAGCCTGGGAGTTTATTTATGTCCAGTTTATTATATAATGAGTTAGACTTTTATAAAAAAAAAATATTAAACATTAAAAAACAAAAGAAAGGAAGGCGAACCTAGTCGAAATAAGGTGCATGCATCAACTCCTAAGCAAAATATTATTTATGAATGATATAAGCAATTGCCTTTGTTTTCTGAAATGTAATTGCGTTTTTCTGAAAATCATTTGAACTTTTCTGAAATACAATTGTGTTTTTCTGAATTTCATTTGGACTTTTCTGAAATACATTTGAGCTTTTCTGAAATTCAATTGGCCTTTTCTAAAAAACATTTGTATTTTTCTGAAATACTGTTGGAAAAGGTGTAGTTCTGTTTTAGAATTAATTAACGAAATCAAAGATCTTGGAGTCATATTTTCTTAAATTTTTTCTTTCAGCAGCCATTTTTTCTCAAATTGTTGCTATGCCGTAATTATTTGGAGACGAATTGATTGGGCCTTTTCGGTTTGGCGTGAAACCTGGCAAATCCACCATGGACCAGGTAATCACAATATGCTCAATCTTGGAAATCACTCGCGAGAATTGGATCGATGCGCACCATCTCTTTGCCGATTTTAAAGACGTCCATTGTCTAAACAAAATAAAAGCTCTCTTTCTTAAAAATTTTCTTAAGGAATAGGCTGGATTCCGGATTCACAACGAGGATAGAATACATTCGTTAACGAAGGATCTGATATTCTGGAGAATAGCCAAGTTATCGTATCGAAGACCATCGTCTTACTTATTCATTATAGAAGGTGAAGCAAGAAATTCGTTCTCCAATTATGTAAGAATTTTTAACCCAAGGCCGCTGTGGTGTAGTGGTAAGTAATGCGCGCTTCCACTCCCCAGCGCCTGGGTTCAAGCCCTGGTCAAATCAACACCGCAAAAAATTTAGATAAAAGGTTTTTTCTTAACAGCGGTCGCCCCTCGGCAGGCAATGGTAAACCTTCGAGTATATTTCTGTCATGACAAACGAGCTGCGTAAAACTGTAGGTCCCTCCACTTTATGTGAAAACATCAAGGCGCACGCCACAAATCGGAGGAGAATCTCGGCCAAACACTAACATATGTGTTAGCGCCAATCTATTATATTAGCTGCATTTTTTTGTAAGCGAGCGACAAAAGAACGCCCAAAACGCTAAAAATCAAGGAGTCACCTCTCAAATGGTACTATAACATAAAAAAATATGAAAAAAAAATCGGAGATCCAAATGATGTGCCATATATGCATATGTATGACAGCCAAATGGTGTGCCATACATACACACATATGTATAAATGTATGTATGTACTTAACAAAAAATAGTTTATCCTTAAACTGTTATTCACTTACACAAATTTTTTTCTTACTTCCGTTGTTTCAGTGCCACATATTAAGCCGCCTACTCATTGTCAGAATAAATGTTACAGTCAATACGAACCGGCCCAAAAAGATATTAAAATTTTTTCCTTCTTTCATGAAATGTCCCCCTAAGAAGAAACCGGAGCGAAATTTCGCTTATCGCAAGCATCATAGACTAATGCCCATTCACTCTGTAGCACTGTGCAAATGTAGTTTGGATTGTGTGTAATAAAAACTAATATTGACTTACCCGCAAAATGGTTGGCTGGAAGCTTGGCAGGCGTACAGCCTGTGTGGGGTAATTATGCCTTTCGATGACCCCCTCTACCCAAGCAAGTTGACCAGTGCAGGAAGTGCAGTAGGAGAAGTGAGAGTTGTAGAAGATTAGAGATGAGTTATGCTAAAGTTGGACCGCCGTTAAGCTGCGGCATATAGGCCGGCCGGCAAACACCCCCTATTCGCGCTGAAGCTATATTCGTTGTTGTGATTGCTATTTTAGTTGTTGCTGCAGAAGCTGGTGATGAAGATGCTGATTATGATGTCTGCTGGCAGACTCTCCTGCTGACAAAGCTTTAGCCCACTTTGTTCTACTTTTGGCACATTGGAACACTGTAATGACAGTCCTTTGTTAGTGTTGTTGGTTTGGATTTTTGCTATCGCTGCAGCTGACACACTTTTCGTAAATGTCGTTTACATGTATAAAATGGTGCAACGTTGGAGAGAACAGACGGCAGCAACAATGCGAAAATATTGTGGAAAGCAAATTATTATAAAGTAAAGGCTTATAAAAAAAAATGCATAAACTATTAAAAAATAAACTGAAAACGAAAAATTATGTTTTCCTAAAGAAAAATTGTGCAAAAGAATACGAGTACAAAAAAAACATTCGCGAAACGACAACGGCGAAAAGTGCCGCGCACACAGTGGGCTCAGGCGCTTACAGCTGCGCTTAAAATCAGGTTAATGGTGGCAGAGGGGCTCTATGCGCGCCAATGACGCCAGCAAACAGCAGTTGCCAGTGCACTTCGGCCGCAACGGACACCTTTGACACCTCGGCTATTAAATTACCGCACCAGTGACAGGAAGGAAGTGGAAAAGCAAGAAAACAAATGGTGTGCTGCTGTGTTTGTGTGTCCGTGTGTGTGTGTGTTTTTGTATGAGGAGTGTAAGTGAATGTGGCAGAGAAGTGCTAACGCTGCAAAAACTCTACGGTCTGAGATAAGGTTTGCGCTAATGGTTTTTTGTTAGTCTGCATTGATGCTACTGCATCTTGTAGTAATAGTGATGCATGTTTGGATGCAGTTGATGTTGTTGTTTTAGCCTGGTTTTTCATCCGTTCTCACTTCATTTTTATCTGCTTGTACTCGTTGCAATCGTTGTGTTGTCGTTAGCTATTGTTGTTGTGGTAGTTAAGGACTAGCTGGTGTTATTGTTGTTGGATTTATGACATTCGTTTTTTTGTTGCAGCACCCACCTTTTTGCTGATGCTTAATACTCCCTTACAGCTAATCTTAAATTTGTGCGCCATGCACCAAAGAACTATCCAGACGCCTCATGTGCCACAATAATGCCGCGCAAGTGAAATTTACATTTTTGACAGGGCGTTACGTCGTGACGTTGGGTGCTGAAGACAGAAAGCAAGCAAGGGGATAAAAATGGGAAAGAGATAATGGGAATAAAAACGATAGGAAAACAGAATACGTCAAAAAAACTTTACGCGTTTGAAAACGAAACGCTTAGCGCTCCAATTTAGTTACACATTTTTTCTATATTTTTGGAGCTTAGTATTTTGCACTCTTTCGTGTGTTCATTTACTCAGCAACTCTGCATTGGCAGCTGTGTTGTTGCAGTCACTGCCGTCATTGCGGTTGCTTTTCTGTTGGCTATTTTAAAAGCCTTTGGAATTCGTGGATAGTTTTACGCCACTATATTCTTTGTCGTTATTTTTTAATTTTCGTTGTTTTTTACTTTTCACACTAAAAAGTTTGCGAGCAATGGGGAAGTGCCTTCAACGTCCCCGTCAGCGTTTTCTGTCTGTTGGTTTGTCTATGCTGAGAGTTTGCTGACGATGAAAGGCAGGTCGGTTGCCCAGTCGGTCAGGCAATCGGTCAAAAGCGTGCATTGCATGTTGGCACGTCAATAAAATTCTGCTGAACTTTGGCATAAATTTGTAGGTTGTGTGGAAATATTGACAGCTAATCGAAATTTAAAGCAACTTGTCTCCCAATACATATCAATCTTTAGGATTATAAGATACCCAACAAGCAAAATAAACTTAAAGAAAGTTTTTTTTAAGTTTTCAATTATAAACATTAAGCTTACAAAACGTTGCTTTTTTGTTTATAAAACGCTTGAAAGTAAGCGTAATATAATCGAAAAGGAACATTGGTTATAAGCGTAGAAATATAAACTTGTAATAAATGTTCAAAAGAAAGCTTTTTATAAGCCTAAAAGAGTAAACTTATAATAAAGTTTCAAAAAAAGTTTTTTATAAGTGTATGAATATAAACTTACTAAACATTTTCAAAAGAAAGCTTTTCATAAACATTTTTATAACCCTTTATTTAAAGATATTTCATTAAAAACTCATACATAGAATGCTTAGCAACTAGAAACTAAACGAAATGCGAATTTTCGGCGGACTCATCTACAGTCGCGAAAATATAAATAGGGAATAGACATTTTAGCATACAAATTCACAATGACACATACAAATTAAGCATAAAAAAGTTAATTATTACATCTTGTTGCGTGCTTTCAATTACTTGCGGTTATTGGCAAATTGGAAAAGCGACATCGATGCATATATATTCCGCTTCATCGCCGCCATTGTTATTGATGAACTTTTCTGAAAAAAATTTAATACATTTTTAATTGAATGTTAAACTAAGAAAGGATAAGGGGAGCTCATCATTTGAAGACTCGAATGCTCCACCGATTAGCGCGGGTCCTGGATTGGACTTTTTTTACCACATCGGTTTTATTTAATTTTTTCTTTTCATAATATATTTTAAAAAACGTAAACACGTCTCTTACGATTGAAAAAATTTTATATTTATTACTTCATGTCGTTGGCATTTACATTTCATTTATAAGTTTAAGTTATTTATAAACATTCGCTCTCAAAACTTATTAAAGGTTTATTTGAAAACACTTTTAATAAGCTTAATATTAAAAATGCTTATTTAACGCTTATTATAGCAAACTTAATTTAAGTTATTTTTAAAAACGTTTACTGAAATGCTTGTTGGGTATGAATACATATAATATTTTCTATTTAAATACATAAACAATTTGTTTACAATTGCGAAGTTCAAGAACAACCAATGTTTGAGGATCATACAAAATGTTTCTGTACGGCGGTCAAAGAGCTCACTTCACGTTTTGTTGATTATAATCGGCTCTTAACTATTGAATGTCGTGTAACCAAAGGCGCAACGCACGTGACGAAGTTCCGAAAAAATCCCAGCCTTTACGTACATATGTAGATAAGGAATGATACAGAACTAGAATCCGCATTCTTCTTTTTTTCGATCGGCGCTGTAAACACCAAAGCGATTCTGACCGAGTCCCATAAATCACTCCAGTCTCCACGTGGTCCTAACATCGCATACGAAGCCTTTCTCTTACCAACATGGTGATTCTCGTTACATATTTTCAGAGCTTAAGCGTTTTTGTATATTCGTACCATATGATCCAGCCATCGAAGCAGCTATATTTTAGTCCAATGCACTGTGTCTTTGTCGTTGTAAAGCTCTTACAGCTCATCATTCCATCGTCTGCGGTATTCACCCTGACCAACACCCAATGGCTCATAAATCTACCGGATAGTCTTTCCCTCAAACAATGAAGGAGCTGCATCATAAAATGTTTTCATTGTCCATGCCTCCGCATCATATACAAGCTCGGGCATGGTGAGTGACTTATAGAGTCTGGGAGAGTAATTTACTTCGCAATTGCCCACCAAGTCCAAAGAAGCAATTATTATTAACCTTTTTCCCCTTTAATGATTTTCCTAGAACCGGAAGAAACGTCAACTTAATAGCGAGAGCCACGCTGGATATAATAAGAAAAGTTGTTTCCCCTGACTGAGTCATCTTTAGCAAGGTTAGTGGTCTGTGGTGAAAACTTGAGCAACATCAGCTACGAAAAATACAGATAAGGGACCTTGCCCGACGGGCTAATTTATCACAAGGATATTTCAAGTTGTTTTACAAAATTAATTAAAATTTGGGAATATTGATTTGTATAAACCGTAAACCTAGCATCGTCAACATCAGCTGCTCCCCAATACCACCGAATCGCCCCACAATTAAATTCCATTTCAGACTAATCAAATATTCTATGTGGAAGTTCTCATTTTTCTGGTTATCAGGTTATCTGGTTAAACTGAACAAAAAAGTAGCCAGATAACCAGAAAACCGGACTGGTGTGAACACCCATTATGAGGCAGATCTGCCTGTCCGGAGTTGTCACGAGACGCGCGATGGCCGCGAAATAGTCAGGGGTGGTTCCTCTGCATTAGATGTAGGCAAGGGTGGTTACCCCTGCATTTGATGTAACTAACTTGTAACTAACTACTTTTGGACATAAAATATCAATACGAAAAACAAAATATGTTTTATATTTTTATTTTTATTTATTTATTTTATTTTTTTTATTTACTATATTTATTTTAATACATTTTATATTTGTTTACATATTCTGCGGTCCCATATTCCAACTCTGTCCGCCCTAAATTCAAAATGATAATATGAAATTTCGATCTTCCTTTTATTTGTCCTCAATTCGAAAAAGTATTTGCGAAGTGCAGGATATTTGAATAGAAACGCGTTTAAAGAAAACAATCTCCTTCATTACTCTTGCATTACTTGTCAACTAGTTTCAAATTAGCTTTTTGTAGCTACTTACCAGTTATATATTTTATAGAAATCCCGCAAAAAAGCTAACTACAAGTAGGTTATTTTTTATCAAGTGATAATTTTTTCTGCAGGGTATAGCTAGGCCTTACGAAGCAGTATATAAGATGGAAGTGACCGTAACTTAATAAAAACCCATTTTATAGCCATCAAAAAAATGAATCGTTTTCCTTAATTTTTTTGTTGTTTTATCGGCTTTATAGCCAGTGCTGCCACTTTACCACAATTGTGGAAGATCTACCACAATTATACTGAAATAATTTTATTAACCTAATTCACCGAAATGTTGCTTTCATAAAAGTTGAACAGGAAATTTTCTCTGTAGTTGAGTTATTACTGAAAATCTCATTTGTGATCCGATTTGGCTAATATTTAAAATATGTATTGATAACGGTAAGAGCAATACTATTGCAAAAAAGTGCTGCCAGGTGGCGCTGGAGTCGAGTTATTATTAAAAATCGCCAAGTGAGAAAAGGTGCCGTCAATGTCAGATTAAATCGACCTATTGCACCATTGAGTATATCGAACTCTCCAGTGTTACGATTGGTGCAATGGATGTAATTTTCCAATTTTATTATGCGTTTAAGCTTTTAAGGTATTTCGTCTGAAATAAGTGTATCTATGTATATTGCATTTCTGTAGAACAATGATACGGACCCATTTTGAAATTGCCACCAACTATACTATACA